CCCTGTCCCTCTTCACGGGACAGTTCATCGTGCAATCTTTGAATATCGCGTTCCTTTGCTATCTCCTGATAATCACGGTCGTGCTCACTCTAATTTCACTCCTCGAAGTGAAGTGGTCCGGTATAGCCCTTGAGGAATGGTGGCGTAATGAGCAGTTTTGGGTCATTGGTGGCACTAGTGCCCACCTTGTTGCTGTCATCCAGGGTCTCCTCAAGGCCATAGCCGGAATTGAAATCTCGTTCACATTGACCTCAAAATCGGCTAATGAAGATGAAGACGATATCTATGCTGATCTCTACGTCGTCAAATGGACAGGTCTTTTCATAATGCCGTTAACTATCGTCATTGTCAACCTCGTCGCCCTCGTGATGGGGTTTTCAAGAACTGTTTATAGTGTGATTCCCCAATGGAGCAAGCTTTTTGGAGGGGCTTTCTTCAGCTTTTGGGTGTTGGCTCATATGTATCCATTCTGCAAGGGACTAATGGGAAGGAGAGGGAAAGTGCCTACCATTATATACGTTTGGGCCGGACTAATCTCCATTACGGTCTCGTTGCTATGGATCACGATTAGCCCGCCTCAGGGAAGTGATGCTACTGCAAGTAATGGTGAGCTTAAGGTATAATAACTGCAGAAAAAAGGTGAATCCAGAATCAAATTACACTATATTGATTCAAGAATGGCTGTAATTTACTGATATAAACCAAAGCAAACTTTGTAGGAATTTGTAGCTCCCAAATGTAGGAGTACATAGCGTGATAGAAATTTTTATGTTTTCTTGGTAAATTCCTCCACATATATACCAACTGTACCACAATTTGAAAAAATTCATGCAAGCTCTTCCATTCCATATCGTGGTCTCTTTTTGCCGTATGGTTTGTCTGGAATAAATATCGAACTTCAAGAAATAATGAATGTCTAACAAAACTAGTAGAGAAATACAATGCTTGAATAAATATGATGGTGTACAAACTTAGATTGAGATTTTAGTGAAATTTAGATATTTTTGTTGTATCGCTACTCATGTGAGGTCATACTTAAACGTGGACCAACACTACCGAAAAATTCACGAATTTGAAATTTTCTCTTCTTATTTTGTACCTATTCCATGTCAAATCTCAAATAATCATGTCATTGAAAAATTAAATAGATCCCAGGCATAATTTTGACAGAGGTTTCTGCTAACCTAGGTGATTACTGCCTGTCACATGCTTGATTATTAGTTTTCATTGCTTGTCCTCTCAACTGTCTCCCAACTTAAATTGTGACATCTCACCACATCAATTTTGACATCTTACTACATCAGCTCTTTTTAGTAATAGCAAGACATTCTAACATGAGCAGGTGTAATGTGGTGTCAAAATTTTAGTAAGTTGGACAACAGAACAATGAACGGATACAATTTGAGAACAATCAATCTGATCGTACAGATTAATTGATCACAGAATGGAGCTAGAAGAGAGAGGAGACCGTGTCCCACGCGTGTATAAAAAATTGACAATAAATTGTGGGCCCCACATATTTGTGTCTTGTATGTAAAACTTCATTCTGTGAATGAAGCACTGCCCATTTGAGAAACCATATTGGCATGGTTTGAGTTGCTCTATTGGACATGACTAGACGTGAAAACAGAAAATTTTAGTCCCAGAACAATCATATTCAAGAGGTTAAATATTGTTAAATTTTATCTATTGTAAATCATTCGTTACATTAACTACACATCAGATCAAAATTAGAGGCCAACAGAGAAAATTTCTAACTAAAGATCAAATAGGCCAAGGAACAACAAAACTGTGGAGCCTCCACTCTAGCAAACTTAATCCTAACCGAACCGTGGAGGCCTGAAATCAAGAATGGAAGCCATAGCCAACCATCAAAATGATGATGAGAATCAGAGCTACGATGATATCTAACACAATCAGTTTAATCTTCATATTCTGAATCCACATTTTTCTCCTCATCTTCGTCCCTTATTTCTTAACACCCTGTGCGTGCCTAAAACTCGAAAAGAAACTTAAGATACGAATAATTTCAATGAAAACCTGAAAAAAGACCAATTCTAGAAGAAACATTGTTAGCGTGTAGAATAGAGTTAAATGAGTAAATCATGAAGACCTTGATAGATCTTCTGTTTTTTCCTTCTTCATAAGGATAAGGAAAGTTTTCACTTTCATTTGAGTGATCCTTGTACTTTCGTAAAATGAGTCCTGATTCTAACGAATCAAAATTTTCTTGTCGATTTGGAAAATTTGTTTAATGACTCCACAAACTTCTCTGCCATTTTAGTTAGATACAATTCAAATATTGATAAACATGTTCAAGTTCTCTCTATCATACCTGTGATCCGTGATCGGAGATTATCGATCTTATTAACAAGCGGCTCAATCTTCTCACCTCAATCGAGAACCTGAAAGGCTAATAGAGTAAAATAAGAGCAACAATGTATATAAGCAGAAAGAATAACCACATTATCGATGGTAAGAAAAACGTTCTGCACTTTCTCAATGTTTCCCATCATCACTTCCTTCAGTGACCTGAGCCTCGACTTCAACAAGTTTGTTAATTTCTTCGGGATGATCAATGCAGTACTACTTGTGCTCTTTCAAATTTGGCCTACAATAACACAGTGTTTGGCAAAGCCCACAAAAACTGAAAAGTGACTTATAAATGGTGAAAAAGCAATTACGCGAAGAAAAATGCTTAAATATCCAAGATACATAAATCTTAGATTAGATGCCATCTAAATGACAAGAATTATGGACTTCAAAAAAAAAAAAATAATAATAATAATAATAATAATAATTCTGCAATTTTATTCATCTTAGTTAACCCTTCTGTACAATTTAAATAAATAAAGATTTGAAATGGAAATAATGCGACTTATCTTCTTAAGATGCCAAGGACATACAACAGTATGTCAAGCGCTCTATGGAGCTGATAGGCCTTGATATGTGTAGCTCTGCTGCACAACATCGGGATTTATTTACATTATTTAGTAATTTGTTAGGAAAATAAATTGAGAAATTTATGGGAAAGGCTACATGCCAATCAATATATAAATACAAAAATACAATACGAATCAGGTTCCTATCAGAAGCTTATGAAAATAAATCTACATATTCAATCTAGAAATGAATCAACATAACCTTCTTCATTTTAGGTCTAAATTCTTCGCTTTTGAGGTAACGACACATCAGGACAATGCAGTCAATCAAACATAAAATCTATACTTTCTTGTTTTATTGTCACAAGAATAAAAGTTGACTACTCTCCAACCAAATTGATTAAAACAAAAACGACTGAGAAAAAAAACAGAAAGAAAAAGAATGTCAATACTGTTTCAACCATAAGAATTCATGTAATGAGAAAACAACCAAAGTACAGATCGATTCGAGTTCTTCAGTATGGCTCAAATAAACAATTCATCTCAAATGACACTAGAACGTGCTAGGTGCCTGCAAAATTTAAAAAAGAAATGAATTATAGACTGAACTCTATTATTTCATTAAAATTTCTCAACTTCTTTAAATCATTACTCAATCCACTGATATACAAGATGAAGGCGCCCACACAAACATATATGTATTTGCCCGTTTCGATAAAAGCTAAATTTCATCACTTTTCAGCTCTGAAACCCAAGCATACACATTACAATTATCAAATAAAATCACACATTCATATGCCACACTAATGAAACCTATTCCATATACATACATCTTTCTTTACTACACTTGAATTTTTTCACAATCATTTCCAGTTCTATATAATAAACGCATAATAACATAAGACAAAAGGAAAATAAGATACATGAAATCAAGTTAAAATTAAATCGAAATGGGCATAAGACAAACAAAAAATGATATAAAAATTAAATATTCACAAAATCAAAGGTAAAGAAAGGACATTGTGGGTACATACTGAATCCATTTTCCAAAAGGAAATTGAAAGTGTGGTCATCACAATTGTAAGTGAATTTGTTCTTTGATTCAGGCAGCTTCTTCATGCATTGCGATGCTATGTTGGTGAAATTCCGTCTACTAGGCTAATATAACGGTTCCCCTTCAACAACGCTATAGATCAGTGTTTGCTGACCCATTATACACAATTTTTACATGTATTGTTGAAAAGAAAAACCCAGAACCCAAATTGAAAAAAGAGATGAAAGTGCAAAAAATCAGTGCAGAATTTGGGAATGAGAAATGGTTATGTGTGATGAGAGAGAAAATTGAGGCTGGGAAGATGAATGAATCCGAGAAAACTGTGAATGAAAAAGGTGGTCAACACGAAAACACTGTAAAAGTTCCCTACAGTTATGTTACATATAACTGCGAGAAAAATATATGTTATGGTCCCCGTTCGAACTCCATTATTTTCTCGTTAAAATGAAAAATATGATCGTTATTCATCACATTAAGTTATCATATTTGATTTTTATCTCTTTTGTAAGGTCCATAACGACTATATTATTCATTCTCATTTTTACAATAATGTGGCTCAAATGGGAGCTAAATGTTGCAAGGGAAAAAATGTTACTAAAATTCTAATGTATGAATTACAATGTTTTACGAGTTAAAGTTAGGCCCAAGGCTTCGTGAATGGTAAAGAGTTAGGCCCGAGGCTTCGTGAATGGTAAAGAGTCAAAGGTCGACTATCGAGATGGAATCGGTTATCAAATTATTACAGTAATTATAGTTCCATTCTTTTCAATCTAGTTCAAATTTGAAAATCTAGCTCATATTTAAAATAAGTCTTGAACGTTACATTTTTTTTTGTATTTTAAGGGCATTAAGCTTTATTTAATCTTCATGCATGTTGAAAAATGAGCCTCAAACTCGTAGGCAATAGCATGATTAAGGGATCCACAGTCGCAAAAGTCTTGATAGGGCAATTATCACTGCTTAACGAACCAAACCTGTGTGATTTATCTATGATGATGATATAAAATTACGTGAAGACATTTGAGTTTCAACTGTTTATTTTCTGTAGAACTAGAGTATTCAAGTAAAGATTTCATTATTATGGATAAACCTATGATAAACTATCCAAGGACAAGTAACTACATCTTTTCCCTCACATTTAGATCCTGAACCTTTCCAAAATAAAAAAATCTCATTCAGCACCCATTCTCTGTCGATGTTATTTGTTACAAACACGTACAACTTTTTAAAACTGAATAAACGTATGACTATACACAGAAAACCTGATCGAGCACAAGAAAAAAAATCAACAAGCCAGTTGATTTCTGTATGATATTATTTCTTCAAAAATGGGTAGTCTTCTTGATCTGACAGGTGTCCATTGGTTTATTAACCAATCAGGTTCCGCCACAAATGCATCTTCCAAATTCGGTTTTAAAGAAGGTGAAGCCGAAGCCATGGACTTACAAGGTTCTAACTCCTTTAGAAGCTCCTCAGCTCGATTTCTTGACTTGGGATCATCTGAACCAGGAAATTTGCCATGTAATACCTCTTCAAGAACATATTTTGCTTCATCATATTTTTCTTGTTTTATAAGGCACAGGCACAGATTGCAGGCCTTGTTAGCATCGGGGTCTATCTGCTGTGCTCTACGATAAACAGCTTCAGAGGCTGCATAGTTTGTTTTCTGCATATAGGCCCAACCCAAATTCCCCTGCAGTGCAAAAATATAGAAAGTGTATAAGCAATCTCATTAAGCGTGATGTAGGAAATGCACACTATAGCATGCATTATTAGCACGTTTGGCAATAGAATGGAATAGCATTGTGCAATAGCCAAAATCTTGTTCATTTTACTGTCTGGCTATATCGATTACTACCAAGTACCAAACATTAACTATATGTTTTTCAATACTCAACTAGCCTTTATGATTAGTAAAATGGCAGGATAAAGATTTATTGTTTCTACTACCGGCCAGGTGAAAGAAAATTCTTCTTTAAGCAATTGGGTGAGTGTGTGTGTGTGTGTGAGCGCATGCAGGTAGATACAACGAATCATAAAAATCATTCAACAGAATTACTTGTAATCAGACATGATCAAAATCCACGACTTATACAAGGCACTGAGGGCCAGGTTGAGGGTGAAGTTTGGATCACCGTCATCCCACATGAGGAAACAGAAAGCTTTGTATATATATTTTACCTAGGCACAATGAGGTTATCCTGCATTATACGTAAGGTGTTATCTTCTTGGTGACACTAACAAGGATTCATAATGAGGATAATTTTTTCCTTCCAGAATTGCTGAAGACGTACTGAGAACTAGCAATACAAATTAGATTTGACACTTTTGTAAATTTTCTTATACCAATATTCTGGACGTCTCTTGCTTTATGGTAACCTGGAACTTCCTTCCATGGGAACGAGCTGTCTTGGTCGGTTTTCCATTAAATGCTTCTCCTTGGTAAATCATCCTCAACTTATGCCTCAGCAGTTCAATTTGCTCATCTATTCTCCCACATTTCTGCAAAATACAATGAATCATTTCAGACATGCTGGTATGTTGAATTGGACTTCTATTTCCTTGCAAAACACAATTGACATAGCTGAAATTTTACACTTCCCATCAATGTGTACTAGAGTAAATTATTTGGTCCTTAATAGTGAAGTTAAAGATTGTTTAGTATTCTATTTGGTGGCCTCTTTAGGACTGACAGAAAGAGAAGAAAGGAAACACATAACCAGCTGCTATACAGAGAGTTTTTCTGTTTAATTTATCTCCTCCACACGCCAATTATGGGCGTACAAAAATCCAAAAGGAAAACAGGTCACAAACAACTGCAATGTGGTTGCAATTTTTAGAATTCAATGAGATGCAGCAACACATAGGCTTTATTAAGAAATGAACAAAAACTGCAATTGATTATCTCAATATTTTTGGAACTCAACAGGTCTGCTCCTTGTAATACTCAGATTGAGATGGAGATCTGTAATTTGCTAATGCAGTGCAATAAAACAATGACTGATGCAGAAAAATTGCTTTAAAATGGCTTATGCAAGAAAAGAGAAGTCAATTTTTACATTCCTAAAAACTATAGCATTTATGATTGTACCTTATATAGATCAATAAGGACATTATCTAGTGACTCTTGGGCTTGTTTGGAGCATAAGTCCCTAAAGGACTTTATAGCTTCAATTGCCTCTTCAGCCCTATCTTGTTGTGTCATAACCACTGCCAAGTCTTTGAGTGCACTATCTACTCTGTCTCTAGCATTTATCGCCTTCCAAAATAAAACTATTGCAGCTTCATTATCCTTCTCGACCAACTGCCAGTAAATTGCCAAACAAAAGTAGATAATAAGTAAGTACAATATCAGAATAATTCTTAGTACATCCAGAAACCATTAATTACTTAAATTGCTTAATATACTGCATAATTTCATTGGACACTGTAAGGGAAAAGCAAAAATGGTATCTTAACTCTCTATCTATACATGAATTCCAAATAGTTAAATATTTAGTGAATCAACATCAACTACATAAAATGATATGATTCATGATCAGACGATAATATCGCCCAGAACTGTATGTGAAGTTACACAAATAATAATGACAAATCATTTTGCTCATTATTCGAAATTGCATTATTGAAGTCTAAAATGAATTGGAAAAGAGGTCGAGTAATCTCCCCCATCTATAAGCTTAAATTGCTTTATTCTGCATCAATTCGCAGAAAATTGTGAATATAAGTAATACTGAGTATTAAATGATAAGATGTAATTTGTGAATGTGATGACATTCTACTTTTTCTACATAAACTCCATTACATGTAGAAGTGCTTACTATAAAGACCAGAATTCCAATAACAATATGATAAATAAATCGAACACAGGTAGATAAATTATCCAAGAAGATGAAAACATATTCAAAGATGACAATCCATATCATATTTATTTAGCCAGACGGCCCAGACCCATTATTTATAAGTTCTAATCTACACATTAGGCCATCTTTCTTTCATTCATTTTCAACCGAAACATATTCTAAAAAACAGAAATTTAAAACCATAACAGAAAATGAAATCATAAGAAAACTCTCAATTACAGGATGCATCAAAAGTAACACATACACACCAAAGAAAAACAAACATAATGAATAAGATTATTACTACATGAATGAAATAACACAAAATATGAGAATTGTACATACTTGAACATATTTGGCTCTGACATAAGGACTGTCACCAGATGGAAGTTTATGAACAACGTGATACTCCTCTTGTTTCTCTGATTTTCTAAGACTGCTGCTATTACAACTTACCTTCATTTTTGCCTTTGTAATTTCCATTTTCTAGCAAAAAGGCCTTTTCCCCTTGTTTCAATCACTCTTCCTTCTGTGTATTGGCAAATGGTTTTGAGGTTCAAGTGGGTAGAAAAATGAGGAAAGAGAATGGTTGATTTAATGAGATCATTGGATGGGGATGAACCTGGATGAGAAAGAGTCCAGGTTCTTAGGTCGTTGGATTTTCTGGTGTTCATATGGAGGAGACGTGATTTTGTTATATTCTGTACAGTCCGGGCATTCTATTTATTTATTTGTTTATTTCCGAAATATTTTTTATGTCCTCGTTTGATTCTCATTTTTCTCAAAATACGTTTTTTCTCTTTTTTTAATCATATTTTTCATTAAAATAATATTACATATAGATAAAAAAAATTTACTTATTTTTCATCACACATTCTCTATTAATCTACTATTCTAAAATTCATTTTTCCATAAAAATGAGTGTCAAACATCCTACTGTCGAGTTACACGATGTTGGACAAATAGCCTTTAACCCATATAAAAAAGATTAAAAAAAAAAAGAAATCAAAATGTTTTAATTGATAAAATGACAAATCTGTCCTTCAAGTTTGAACTAAAAAATCACCCTAATTCCCTTCATTTCACCCCTTTCTTCCCCTTTAGTTAAACTCTATTCTCTCAAGTTCAAAAATTACCGTCTTTCTTTTTCCCTTTTTCATTGATTTCAACTTCATCATAAAACCCACTAAAATCGATTACAAATTTATGAATATACTGGCATTCCTATCTAAACTATTGCAACGGAAGAAGTGAACACAAATCAAAGGTCTGGCTTGTTCATCTCCTGCCTTCTTAGGCCGAGAACCCTATATTTGGGTTGTACGTAGATACTAACTTGTAAATCATTATTTGCATAATGTACTATAGAGTAGTAACATATTTAAGGTGTTAATTTGAGGTTGAAGTGACAATGCTTCATGGCTTAATAGGATGTTGTCTTGCCTTGGAGCTTTCTATATGCAGTTACGGAATACAAATTACAATGTGAAAGTCAGTGGCAGCATCTCTAGAATATGTTCGAAAATTATGATTCAATGAAGTTTTAGTATGACCAAAATGGTTTTTTTTTTTTTTTTTTTTTTGGTAGGGTAAAAGAAGCTCAGTTCGTGATTAGGGAGTTGAAGTACACGTGAGTTCCTGATGCATCCTAAATTTACATAGTAAATTTATTAAGGTAGTGTTTGATTGGAGGTGAAATTCTATGGAAAATGGATTTGGAATTCCACATTCCAATTTAACCTTGTCTGGTAGCCATTTTTTTCCCTAGAATTGAATTTTCATTTTTGATGTCACATAAGCCAATCTCCATTAATTCAAGGAATTGCAATTCTCACCAAAATGGTGAGAATTGGAATTCCCGGTTACTGTATCATTTTTTTTTTTTTTTGATTTTTTTGATTTTGATTTATTTATTATTATTATTATTTTTTGCAATGGAAACAATTTCTAACAATTATTGTAAAAATTATTTCACTTTAATTGACAATTTTTCATGTAAAACAAAATCAAACAAACACAAAAAATATATGTGTTTTTTTTTACTTTTTTGGCAGTCGGGACAAATTTCATCTCTGTTAGGATCTTCCTTAAGCTGCTCAAAGTGATTTCCGGGCTCAGTTAACCATTAAACATCGAATTCAACACCAAACCGAGAGATGACCGATCGCCCGCGTCCGCCCTTCCTATGGTTGCTATTTCCTCTTTTGCTTGTTGATTCTACCACACACTTAGGATGGATACCACACAGGTAAGAGTCACAAAGCCTCAAGCAATTGGTAGGGAAGATAACTTGGCAGGAAGCATGAAGGAGGAGAAGAAGAAGAATAACACCTCTCTCTCTCGGGTTCTCTTCAAGCACGGCACAAAGGAGTAGGGGTTAACTACCAATATATATATTAGTTAAATGGCCAACTTAAGGTAAGTCACAATATGGTAAGTAGGCTCGACTAGGGTTAAGTCCCAATAGAAAAACAACAAGCCACAAAGAGTATTAGTCATCCAATAGGTAAAGCAACGTTAGGTCGGTTCATCCATTATTCGATGTTGAATTATCGTTCAGTCATTCATGTCGACTGATAAAATTGATTTTCATCATCGTTCGGGAGGTCGTTTGACAACATGATGTCTAACAACCTCCACCTTGGTGTCAAATGATCTGCAAAGAAAAACGTTTTTCCATTAGTGACACCTCTAACAGAAAAATCGATAAAATTGAAATCATTTATCTGTACTGATGTTTAGAAGCTCTTTGCAACTTCTAAAATTTACTAGTGGCAGCACTTTCGTGCCCATATCTGAAGGATTATACTGTGTGTGAATTTTTTCAAGTCTTACTACTTCTTGTGATATTATATCCCTAATGAAGTGTAACCTAACATCGATATGTTTAGTGCGTTCGTGAAAAACAGGATTTTTACACAGATATATGGATGACTGACTATCAGAATACACAACCACATACTCATTCAAGACACTCAATTCATGAAGTAGACCTCTAAGCCATAGAGCCTT